GTCCACCCTTAGTACGCGTCATGTGTGAAGTGAGTAAGCATGTCCACCCTTAATATCCGTCATGTGTGAAGTGAGTAAGCATGTCCACCTTTAGTACCCATCATGTGTGAAGTAAGTAAGCATGTCCACCCTTAGTACCCGTCATTTGTGAAGTGAGTAAGCATGTCCTGTCCTCCCTTAGTACCCGTCATGTGTGAAGTGAGTAAGCATGCCCTGTCCACCCTTAGTACGCGTCATGTGAGAAGTGAGTAAGCATGTCCACCCTTAATACCCGTCATGTGTGAAGTGAGTAAGCATGTCCACCCTTAGTACCCGTCATGTGTGAAGTGAGTAAGCATGTCCACCCTTAATACCCGTCATGTGTGAAGTGAGTAAGCATATCTTGTCCACCTTTAGTACCCGTCATGTGTGAAGTGAGTAAGCATGTCCACCCTTAATACCCGTCATGTGTGAAGTGAGTAAGCATGTCATGTCCACCCTTAATACCCGTCATGTGTGAAGTGAGTAAGCATGTCCTGTCCAACCCTTAGCACCCGTCATATGTGAAGTGAGTAAGCATGTCCTGTCCAACCCTTAGTACCCGTCATGTGTGAAATGAGTAAGCATGTCCTGTCCAACCCTAAGTACCCGTCATGTGTGAAGTCAGTAAGCATGTCCTGTCCAACCCTTAATACCCGTCACGTGTGAAGGCAGTAAGCATGTCCTGTCCAAACCTTAGTGCCGGTCATGTTTGAAGTGAGTAAGCATGTCCTGTCCAACCCTTGGTACCCGTCATATGTGATGTCAGTAAGCATGTCGTGTCCAACACTTAGTACCCGCCATGTGTGAAGTGAGTAAGTATGTCCTGTCCTCCCTTAATACCCTTCGTATGTGAAGTGAGTGATACACCCATGATTACTAGTAATGTTACAAGATGGCATGATTATTTCTGGATATATGAGTCCAAACTACAAAGTAATCTTCTATCCATTTTACTTCTTTTCAATTTGCCCCATTTCCACGGCCAAGAATTCAGCACCGATCGTGCAAAGAAATCAATACAGTGCACCAAAGTGAGCAGTTATCTGTATTGTTTGTGATGGTAAAGGAAACTTGGATAATTGTGTTATTGGATAATCTACCATCTTTAAGGGACTTAAAATGTTCCAAAAATAGTGGGAAACGAACTTGAAATGAATACACATTCACCGCGTGGTAATAGATCCATGTATATTTAATAACTTGTACATAAGACATAACATGTCTAAAAACCCATACCAAGTACAATAAGTTTACACTTAACATTTGAAGATGGCATTAACATTTAGCGATACCATATCTGAAAATATGAACAACGAACAAAACATGTCGATTAGTGATGTTGGCTTCATTGTGTGTCATTCAGGCATGCAATAGTTGTTCACTTCGCTATGATGACCCGTTACACAAACACCTCCTGACAGATAAGAACCATATGTTACAAAACACTTCGCACGTGGATGGAACTGCATAGAATATCAAGTGACATTTTGTAATTACTGTTCACACTGGCCTGTGTGACCAGCTTGCCGATAAGCGGATGTTCGATGTCCTTACTGACAGTGTCGTTTGTAAATTAGTTCGTTTCCTTGTTTCTACATCAGCATATACACTGAAATGAGCTAAGCTTAAATTTCTTCATATTATTTGCAGAATATCCCTTAAAACTAGGGAATATCAAATAATTATAACATTAGAATTATACTCAATGTAAAATGTAACTTTAATGCCTTCGATCTTAAATAGTGGCGGTCGGGTAGCCTTGTGGTTAATGCATTCGCTCGACACGCCGAAAGCCCGGGTTCGATTCCCGACATGGCTACAATGTGCGACGCCCATTTCCAGTGTCCCCCGTCTTGATATTGCAGGAATATTGCTTAAAAAAGGCTGCGTAAAACGATACTCACTCACTCACTTACGATGTTGAATACTGTTTCCTCTTTGTTGTGATAAAGGGCGATTTATCATATGGTACACTGTGTTAATTTAAAACATCAACGCCGTAGAGTAATCCGCTCGATCATCAACGGAAACAAACTCAAATGGGCGCAAACGGCAAAAGAAGCGTCGAATACCACATGAACGGGTCATAGAGAGCCAGTGATGGCACCAATGATTGCACCGGGGGATGGCCTCAGGTGATGGCACCAGGTGATGTCACCAGGTGGTGGCACCAGTGATGTCACCAGTAATGGCACCAGTGATGGCACCAGTGATGGCACCAGATGATGGCACCAGTGATGGCACCAGGTGATGGCACCAATGATGGCACCAGTGATGGCACCAGTGATGGCATCAGGTAATGGCACCAGGTGTAGACCGATATTTCTCATCTAAATAACCAAGAGTTCAGATATGTTTTAAACATGTGATATTACTGAACGTCGATTTAGCAGACCGCGTCCGTGGTCTAATGGTAGAGCGGCTGTCCGGAGAGCGAACCCCAGATCGCGTCATACCAAAAGACGTCAAAAGATGGTACTTGATGTTACCCTGGCTGACGCTCGGCAATAAGGAGTAAGGAACACTGTTCGGCTCAGAGTATACTGTGTCTGAGTGGGGTATTAATGTTAAACTGTGGCATGGTATCTCAGTGGGCTAGCACTATAAACTCGGCATACAAGCAGCCACACACACGCGCACGCACACACGCACACACACACGCACACGCACACGCACACGCACACGCACACGCACACAGGTGCAGGCCCGTCTCAATATAAGTGCAAAAATGTTGAACACGACGTTAAAGCACATAACACCTCACTCATTTAAGCACAGCTGTTTCAAAATAAACCAACGAAAACAAAGAAAAATAAAGTGGGATTATAAAATCCTTGCGTGCTCTAAAGTTTTCCTTATCCTATAGGGCGGTCGGGGAGCCTAGTGGTTAAAGCGTTCGCTCATTACGCCGAAGACCCGGGTTCGATTCCCGAAATGGGTACAATGTGTGAAGCCCATTTCTGGTGTCCCCCGCCGTGATATTGCTGGAATATTGCAAAAAGCGGCGTAAAACCATACTCACTCTTAAACCTATAGATTTCAAATACACAGGGAAGCCTCATTGCTTATCAATAGGACTAAGTTACACACACCTGCTGCACAACTGATGATGCAGAATATATTGTGAACTGTGACACTGACAACCACTTAAACTGAAGCAGTTTGGCAGTTCAAGTTATGGGAACATACGCATGTGTGTCATGGTAATACGCGTAGTAAGCGTAATTATAATGGAGCCATCCATCAACGTGTAGATGCATCATTGGACAGTTCCTGAACGGACGTGTATGAAGGATTGGACGTGTAGTTTGGTTGATATGTGCCGCTCCAAGATGGAAACGTTAACCTGCATCTTAAGCTTGCTGTGTCTTGCGTGCTGGTCCCTTCCCCGTGGTGTTGAAGGTAGGAATCTAACTGACCGCCAAGGCATACCATGAACTGAAAACTAACACTTACACTTTGGCTGATCGATCTGTCAAAGTCGTCAGTTTCAGAATAGTATGACCTTTGCCCATGTTCGACCACTGTTCACTGAGTGTCCTTCTGGCTTAGTGAACGGTGGTGAAGTAAAGACGTAGAAGGACGACTAGTTATTCATTGTTCTCAGAAAGACGATGCTTGCAAGAATATAGCAGTAGAGATGACACCCTATGTATAATAACACCCTATGTATAATTATATTTTTATAATTTATAATTATATATTTTTTAATCGAGCCTCTTCCCGTGACACACAACAATATAGCAAAAGGGACATGATATGAAAAATAGGTATTTTGTCAGATAGCAGAATAGTTCTACTGCTGGGCTGTTTCATGCCCCTCTGTGTTGGAGGAGAATAATACATGCAGACAATCTCTACTGCATTCTACTGTTGGGCTGTTGCAAGCCTTTCTATGTTGAAGGTGTGTAGTAAAAGCCTATTGTCTCTACAGTTTTCCACTGTTGGGCTGTTGCAAGCCTCTCTAGGTTGAAGGTGGGTAGAAAATGCAGACTGACTCCACTTTCTCTCATTGTTGTGCTGTTGCAAGCCACACTATCTTGACGGTGGGTAGTAAAGGCACATTGTCTCTCTTTCTCTTGTGCGGTTGCAAGCCTCTCTATGATGAAGGTGGTTAGTAAAGACATATTGTCTCTACAGTCTTCCACTGTTAGGTTCTTGCAAGTCTCTCTATGTTGAAGGTGGGTAGAAAAGACATATTGTCTCTACAGTCTTCCACTGTTAGGTTCTTGCAAGTCTCTCTATGTTGAAGGTGGGCAGTAAAGACATATTGTCTCTACAGTCTTCCACTGTTAGGTTCTTGCAAGTCTCTCTATGTTGAAGGTGGGTAGAAAAGACATATTGTCTCTACAGTCTTCCACTGTTAGGCTGTTGCAAGTCTCTCAATGTTGAAGGTGGGTAGTAAAGATATATCGTCTCCACAGTCTTCTACCGTTGTGCTGTTGCAAGCAACTCTATGATGAAGGTGGGTAGAAAAGACATATTGTCTCCACAGTCTTCCACTGTTGTAGTGTTTTTTGTACGTGCGCCAATGCTCTGTTTCCTCAGCCTCTCCGGAAACAGTATCCCATGTACAATGTCAAGGGAAAGGTGAGAACACAGACGTTTCAAAGTCCCCCCAAGTTTTCCGCATTCTGCATCGTAAAATCTTAGTTTCATATCATGACACTCACAACTGAAATGGGTCACCATAGCAACTTACAGATGCTGTGATCAGAATGATGATGGTGACGGCTTCCATTTCATCTTCAGCTGCTGTAACTAAAGGGGGAAGTTTACTTCTAAAGTCCACATTCCATACACAAGGGAATAGGCAGATTAAAAGGAAATGATCTTCAACAACACATGTTTATCGTAAAACCCTATTTAGTTTCTTATCATATGACAAGGAATCCGACCTGATCCTGACAAGCTATATTCTTTCCTATAATTACTACAGTAAGAATGATCTCTGTAGTGGCTCTCACTGTTATATACAGGCACGAAGTGCACAGGCGGATTCCACAAGCATGGAGATTCTTGTTATTGGCTCTCGAACATAAAAGGAACATTTGCAGAAGCGAGGGTGAGTGATTTATACAATCCAGAAGTCTGAAACGTCATCAGATTTGTGGGCGGTTATTTCTTGACACACATCTACAAATCAGTTACGTTATTGTATCCAACTTGACGCAATTGGTAAAAAACATATGTTAGGGTGTATGAATTTTATTTAGTTGAGACAACATTTGGAAAATGGAAAAACTAATTTTCCAGCTTTCTTTCGCATGATCAAGACGTGTCTGTATTGGAGAAAATATGTGTCATGTTTTTGGTCAAATGTCCACATAAAATAATTAATACCACCATAAGATCTTGACAGGACGAACTACTTTAAGGGTGATATCTGATGTAACAAAACCTGTGTATGTGTGACACATTACCTTCACTGCAAGGGTAAAATGTTTCACCTCTAAAGTTGTTATTTTTTGCATTGCTTACGTTCATTTATTGATTGATCTTCTAAATAGGAACTGCATAAGGTGATAAGATTGATTAACAATGTGTTTTGTAGGAAGTCAGAGATCTTCTTAACTTTGTAGCATAAAATGAGTAACTGAGATTGTTGATGGTTGTTTCGATGCAGTGGATTGAAAAAGAGTAATTGTTCCCCTAAGAGTGTAAACCATCAAAGTTTTATTCCTGAACAGCTGAAGAGATGGTGTAAACTCTTTTACATGTGTTCCTTTGTTCATGTGTTCCTATGAAGAATGTGTGACATAAGTTAGAATCGTTCTTTATTCTCCACAGTCAATCTGTCGCTTCCTGGGCAGTGATCTGGTCACCATCACCAGTCACACCGAGGATGTCTTTGTCAGAGGGTATGCGACCCAGCGGGGAAAAGGTGGGTATACTCAGAAGTGCCAATTATCATTGCTTTACCCCAAATTCAATGGTACACACTTCATTGGAAAATTGTATGATATAAACATATTTATTTCCATAAAGTGGAGTGATTGGCAAACAAGCAAATTTTGCTTATCTGAATGCCTCTCCCAAACATGATACATATACAAATAGCAATGTATATAGGAAAATTGTATTCATCCCAATAGCGTAATTGTAGCGTAAAACGAGGTTTCAGTGGTTCACTTTCATACGTATAGGTATGTAAATAGATATTTGCATGGTTTGTGATACGTTATAAAAGAAACGCGTAAAAAAGTTATTTCCGATAATAATGAATACCCATTTTTATGTCATATATGTTGAAATAGGCCCGTTGTCTCATACTAAACACATTCTTTGTTTTCTTATTCCGTAATGAAGCTGAAAGATACTACCTGGGGGCCACCGACCTCGGCCTGGAGGGACGCTGGATATGGACGGGGAACAAGCCCTTCACTTACACCAACTGGGGACCAGGGCAACCAACTAACTACAAAAATAATGAACACTGTCTCGAAGCTTACAAAGGTTATGGATACGGTTGGAATGATGTTCATTGTGACATGAAAGCTAATTTCATTTGTCAGATGTCGCCACTGAGAGGATAAATAAAACTATTGTTGCAGTCTGTCTCTGAGATCAACAATTTCACATGTGTGATTAAGAAATACGTACCTGTTATACATATATTACAGTTAACCTGATAAACAAATACAGGTTACAGGGAACACACTGAGCACACTCAGATACCACGCCGCAGTTTAAGCAGTAATAGGCAGTATTCTGAGCCGACCAGTCCTATTTCTAGCCCATTATTGCCGAGCGCCAGACAGGGTAACAAGCACCATCTTTTAACGTTTTTTAGTATGATGCGACCGGGCACCGCACGACGGACCTTCCGCTCTCCGGGCGGACGTTCTACCAGGAGACCAAGGAGGCGGTAGACAGGGTAACAACAAGTACCATCTTCTTCCGTCTTTTGGTATGACGCGGCCGAGGATCGAACGCCGGACCTTCCGCTTTCTGGGCGGACGCTCTACCACAAGACCGCGTTGACCAGCTGTTGATGAGCGTAGATGACACGTGTGGGCGCGACATAACTCGCGATTTGTTTTGTTGAAACATGACCACTGATAAGCTTATCGCCGAGCTGAAACATGAAAATAATTGATAAAACACAAACACCGAACGCTCAGGGCGGACGCTCTATCAAGAGACCACGAAGGCGGTCCCTCAGTAAAGCGACATTTCCAAATTCAGTCGGACGCATCAGTGACATTAATCATACCCCATGCAATTCCCGAATTCAGCTTGTATCATTGTATCATATGTTGCCATATTTATTCAGGGGAACAATTGGGTTGACTTGCACATGCTTGTGATGGGTGCCACTGGTTGGGCAGGATACTTACACCTTTTCGCGAACACCTGGTGTCATCGCAACAAAATAATTTGACATTCTGAGTGGATATTACGATTCATACAAGAAACAGATCAAAATTAAGGAAGGCGTGATATCTTCTTGTATTATCACGTTATCATAGCATTTTCGCTTATGTTATGTCATTCCAGAATCACCAAATTACACAATGTCATCAATATTCATGAACTGACAGTGATTCACGATTTGACCCATCTTCTCAAATAACAGGCAAAGAAATCGGTGCCTGAGTGGGTGACTCTGTGACATCAGAACCGGGGGGGGGGGGGGGGGGGGGGGGGGATATAACAAACATGTAAAAGTGAAAGAAAAGCTGGAACGTGAAGTAATAATAATAGAAAATAAGCTCTGTATCTTTGGGCATCATAGATGAGGAACCCTTTTAAGAAAGTAGCTTTTAGGGAACACATCTTATGTTGGTTGGTTGGTTGGTTGTTTAACGCCGCATTCAGCAATATTCCAGCTATATGACGGCGGTCTGTAAATAATTGAGTCTGGACCAGACAATCCATTGATTGATATCATGAGAACGATAGCGTTCATGAAACAGAAGGTTTAACAACACATACGGATTGGTCTTCATTTAACGGAAGGTGCAACAACATATACGTATGGATGTTCATTTAACACCATCAATAATACATTATTTATGTCAATGATTTTATACATGCTGTCGACAACACACAAACATATAATGTAGTTGTTAGCCTGCTAATATCAGGGATGAATTTCACGCCTCTATGATAAATAGCTTCAGTTTTTTGGTTCTAATGTGGGATTCCACATGAGACAATTAAGTCTTGACAGGTTGTGATATGATGGTCGTGAAATCCAACAAACGTTTGCCATAATGATTTCGAGATATGTAAACAGAAGATAATGAACAGTTTACACACACTCTGTAGGTTATGTAATATAAAGTGTAGGGTGTGAAAATTAGAATACATGTGAATGTCCACATAAATACAAAGACTGGTTGAGCATAATAATAGAGCGGTTTCAATAAAGCGACAAAACCCTTTCTATAGCCAATAGAAATCTCTGCATAAAGCAAAGTCACCACCGATCCCGACTACATGTCATAAGCATGTGTTTGTGAATCACTATAAAATAGTGATGACACCAGGTGTTCGGGAAAAGATGAGAGTATCCTGCCCCACCGAAAAGTAAGTATTGGTAGGGCAGAATAATAGAAAAGTTGTATATAAACATGGATTGTTTTTGTACTATGTTTACTTCCGTTGCCATGCCAATAATCAATAGTTGTATTATGAAAACGCATTCACTGTAACCCTTTCCCTTAGCACCCACCGTGCGTGAAGTATTTGTACATGTGCTGCCAGTCCATGGCACCCGTTACGCTTGTGAACATGTGCGGCTGGTCCTTTAGCAACCGCCTTGTGTTACATTAGTGTTCGTGTTTTGTTAAGGTCACAGCAATTTCGAAATAGTTTCTTGGTTGTGATGGAATAGCATATAATTATACACAAATATGACACTAGTGCTAGCGTTGAAAGCTTATGAAACGCTTTTGATTTAGTTGGGTTGGGTTTAACGCAGCGTTTAACATTATTCCAATTATATCATGGCGTGACAGTTTAATGTGGGGGGAAAGCTGGAGTGATGCAGGTCTCAGACGTTTACCACTTTGGTGAAACCCACGAGCACGGGTATGGTGCTGACAAACCTAGAAACGTTATCGGGGCGAACCGGGATTCGTACACACAATCATAGGTTTCTGGCGTGCCCAAGGAACGCAGCTCTGCACAGCGAATTGCGGCGCCATAGACGACTGGGCCACCTGTGCCCCCTATTATATGACAGAACTCGATTGAGTTGGGTTTAACACTATAGGTAACAGTATTTCAGTTGCATCATTGCGTGTCATCTTACTTTGTGAGGAAAGCTAAAAAAGATGCAGTTATGTGATAATGTGTACCTCTTTGATGAAACACACAAGAACATGTCGGGAGTAGTAGTTGGCATTCTACAGGACACTTCGATAGCAACAACACAAGTCCGCATAAAGGTCCACAACATTTATTCGTCGCAAGAAGACGTTCAGCTCTCAACATCTCAACTCCATCTGCCAACTCTGGTGGGCTTAAATGTACATGCATAAACATCCTAAGCTTCCTGACCATATTCTTAATATGCTTATATGACCAGACCACTTAGTACCTCGTCCACAACCCCTATGCATCTAGTGCAGTGGCCAGTCTTAACCTTCACCTTAAAAGGCTACTGCATGACGTAATATGCGACTCCAGCATGCCCCTAAAAGGCAACGGCCAAAAATCCAATCAGTGAATGATGAAGTGGAAACAGGGGAGGGTCATGCGAGCCTCTACCCAGGGTCGAAAACCCAGTCGCAAACCTCACGCGACATACTGTATACTTCATGTAATATACTACCCGGTTTTGACAATAGACGTGTCTTCTCGTCTTTAACAAGGATTGTGTATGAAGTACAATGGACAATCAGTAAAAGTACATCAATAAATAAATTGTTTAGAAAACATTGTCTGATCGCAGAGAAATATTTTTTATGGATGGGCGTTTGTTTAGAATTTGTTTGTTCCATACTAACTAAATGTGGACCTTTCTTTTTTCAGAAATTACGTACAATACCATTCACAGAGATAATTCACATATCGTTATACAGCTGTGGGAGACAAGCAAATACATAAAGCACAATTTCTAAAATAATCCTGTACAATTAGTCGTTCACCCTTGTGTCCACTTACCCAAGATTATCACTGTGATTATGCATGTAAATTGAAGTATAAAACGAACTGGTGTAAAAATAAACATTAGCTGCCACTCTCCTGTCTCCTGCGATTCCTTATTAACACATACAATAACGGAACATTAACATTTCCCATAGCAATAACTATGAACACACATTCCACTCAGGATGGCTGGCCCTTCCACAACTACCTGAACTCGTAGGACAGAGGATGATATTGCATCGCCAACATGCCAATGTATCTATCCGTGATCAAGGGACAGATACAGGTGGAATCCATCATCCACCTCCAGGGAGCCTGCTGGTTGTCCTGTACGTGTTCATCTACAATTGACACCTGTCTTTCTCTCAATCACTGCACGGCTATGTCTTCGACTGGCCTCTGACAGTAACGAGATGGTCCTTTTTTCTGTTGGTTGTCTTATACTTGTTCATCTACAATTGACACCTGTCTTTCTCTCAATCACTGCACGGCTATGTCTTCGACTGGCCTCTGACAGTAACGAGATGGTTCATTTGTCTGTTGGTTGACCTGTACTTGTTCATCTACAATTGACACCTGTCTTTCTCTCAATCACTGCACGGCTATGTCTTCGACTGGCCTCTGACAGTAACGAGATGGTTCTTTTGTCTGTTGGTTGTCCAGTACTTACATGTTTAAATAGTCATATATACAAGATACACATTGTCGAGACCTTCCACACTTTGAGCCTTTAATGCATGCATATATTTGACATACAACGTTGATGACCTAACTAAAAGCAATTTTCGTGTAGAAGATTCAATTTCATCTCAGATGGTAGTTGGTAGTTGGCATGCATTATTATACATGTTTAATCATTTTAAAAATATATAGGACTACTATACATATATGTTAACAGTGTTTCAAATACCATGCGATTTGTTTATATGAAGGTTAAGGTGTTTGGGTATAACGTCCTCAGATTGTATTTGGGCAATACACACTTAAGGTGACTTAGATCATACAACTGAAAATACCCAGAGACAAATCCTATAACAAGTCTTAAGGATGAGTGTAAGCAATCATCGGCTAGATTCACACAGCCTGAGTCAGTCCAACATGTCAATATGAATAATCAAGCAGCAATAAAGAACAATTCTCAGTTCTAATACACAGATACACCAGATCTAAATACAGAGGGTATTATATTCTACCGGGATATAAATTGCAAAGACGCCAATCTATGTAGTTAAAACAGGCTTTAGATCAAACCACCTGGTGTGTAACTTGTTCTTTGTAGGCATAGCCGGACAGCAACTCTGGTCTTTGAAGTTTAAGTTGGGGCACCGACGGTCGGGTGTCTCTCAGAGTGTATGTTAGATTCCGCTCTTATATCCGAGTGATTCTCTTACCTCTGCAGTTATCAAGCATATTTCTTAAAACTCTTTAATAATGTACAGCGTTGATCCTTTAAGAAGAAGTGTT